CATCCGTAAACTTGGCGTTTGCATTCGCGTGCAGGCAACCTACCAAGGCTCCGGCGACAACTGCGGCCAGAGCACGCTACGGTATAGCTCTCGCTTGGGGATCCATGACTGCTCCGCCATATCCTTCCGTGCTGTCTGGGAATCTCTAAATAATTTATTCTACTCATACTCTAACATTACATTACAACGCATCTTTACCTTGTAGGGCTCACCCACTACTGTATGCCCAGTGAATGCCCCAGTGTAAACGAGCAAAGTATGTTCCATATGCCTCCCTGTTTGAAGGTACAACATTGAATAATTACCTACTCCTTAAAAATACTTTGCTGCATGCCAGTCCAGGCTGACTAATAAAGTGTCGCGGATGAAAAGCGTGGGGCCCGGTGTAATGCACAGCGCCCGTTTCGCTGTCACTACGTATGAACCCTAAGCTATGTGACTATGCGCTCACACTGCTTCTAAGATCTAAACTGATGATTCTCGCTATTCGCAATACAAAACACATTAAGAATACAAAAGGTATTCGAGTTCTCGAATTTCTTCAAAAGGGAAAAACCTCAGAAGATCAGAACTCCTTTGTCCCTCCACGAGGGTCGGCATCTGAGTCACAGCCTCGGCCTCACACCCAGCCCCCACGCTGGTGCAGGCTGGTGAGCAGCCCGTTCCTATTATACTGCTTCTCTTATGTAAAGATGTCCTAACTCCTGAGATATCCTATAGTATGTAATCCTTTTCATGATACTAGGTCTCTAGAGGCCACACAGAGGAGCTATTGTAGTGCCCGTGCACTACACCCGGACCCTCCTTTTCTCACTAGCGTAGCAGGGCCCCCCACGGCAGCGGTACGGGGCCCCAGGGGTGAAGCGAGTACTCTTACGACCTCTATATGTATTTGCAACATCAAGAACTATCATTTTCGGTTTTGTTCTCTCCTTTTGTCGCTTACTCTTTCGCCGTGAGTATTCGCGTTAGTACACCGCCCCACACCGTCGGCTGGAGCCGAAGATACTATGGCTTTCGCCCTTCCCTTCCAAAGCTTCAGCCAGTGAAAAAAGGGAATCGAGCTATAAAATTACACGCGATTCCTGCAATCCCGCGCAGGCGCAGCCGCACCGACACCAAACATAGCAGCCGCATCCCCGGCGGCAGAGCAGAGCGGACATCGGAGTTTAAAGTGTACTTCTCTCGGTACTAATGACCGACGACGAGCAACAACAACAGCAGCAACTTGCTGCCCTGCAGCTTGGGCTTCAGCAGGTACGTAGACGCTCTTTTGCTTTGTTGTTCCATCGCC